TACAGAGATTTAAAAAATAAGTAACTTACTAAAAATAATATGCCAAATGTGACTAAATGTTTTCACTTTTGTATTTTCCATTATATTAACATATCAAAACGGTAAAATACGCGTTTCAACAATTTAATAGGTATTTGCACACACCATCTACTTACAACGATTTCTGCAACTGGATAATAGGTAGGTTAGAGTACATGTTAAATTGTTTAATCGCGTTTAGTTAGCAGTAGAGCTTCGTGTGCAAGAGTTCGTCCAGGGAAAAACTGCCACCTTACTGCGTTTCAGTTTGGAAGGGTGACGTTGGTGGTGAATTTACACATGGGACTTTCAACTTATGTCTCAAGAATTGGGCGCAGTGGCATTGAAAAAAATCCGTTTTGAAATATGACTGAAGGTTATCTAATATGAATGTAATATCAAGTTTGTCCGATTCCCGAAAATGTTACGTTCCTATTTCCGCTAGTTTGTTATTGAGGGTGGTTTGTTGACACGGGCATTGCGCAGGATCCTGTCGGTGAGCGTGAACAAGGAGGAGATCTTCGTGCTGGAGGGCCCGCGCTCGCTGCTGCGGCTGGCGCACGCGCCCGAGCCCGCCGCGCTGGCCTCAGGTACCGCCCGGCAGCCGCGCTGCTGATGGCTCTAGTCTAGAACTCGGGCTAGGGCCGTCGCGGACCTTAAAGCGCTAGAGTTGCGAGGGATAGGCGCGGTCAAATTCCTATATCATCTATTCGATCGGAATCCTACTTAAAAATCCACTTATCTAACCAGATGGACTTCTGCTGTTTTATTGACTGTGGAATTTAGACATAAAGCCATTGACTTACAATTATATGGACGTCGGGTCCGCGCTAAAAAGTGTCCGAACTTATAGGGCGTTAAAATCGTATACAGAGCGTCATTCACGCTTTAGTCTTCGTTTGTTCGACATTACAATTTAAATTCAGCGTTTTAGCTTTTTCATATTCCTTTACATGTCACTACGTTTAAATAGGTTGACTTGGGACATTTTTTTCGTGGTTTTTGTATTAGACCCGTCGTCCATTTATTTGTAAGTCAATGCATAAAGCAGATGCTTTAAGTCTAATAGTAAATAGATATTGTTGAGGGTAAACGTATTTGATATTTTTATTCAGTTTCGTCGTACGCCGACGACGTAATTTTGGTGCAGTGAAAACATGTGTTTGAGGCCCGTATTAATACGACAGCACCTAATTAGGTTGGAACTTAGAAATTTAATTCTAACATCGCCGTTCCTCAGTCAGTCGACTAAAAAGTTTAGAAGAAGCACTATCCTTATGTCGTTGATATACCACCCATTTGCACGAAGCACATTTGCTTATTTGGAATATTAAAGGAATGGAATACAGTACGGCCTACTTACTATGTTTCCCGAAAAGGACAATTTAGGGCTATTCAAGGCTAGCCTGAAAGGATATTTTTTGAATAAACGCCATCGTTGGTTTTATTGGTGTTTAACGCCAAGTGATATTGTAGTCAACTTGTAACTTAGATCTCAACTTCTTCTGTATATAATAGACTATAATCATAGGCATCTTGAATGATACCGTCTTGGATGATACCATCTCAAAAGACCAAGATCCTGCCCTTGATTTATTGGGACTCAGTAACCAACAATGGAAGCGACATTTTTGTAACCATAGCATATTGATCTTTATGTGAATTCTGTAACGTGCAAAGTAGACAACAGTAGAACTCCACATAAAAAGAGTTCGTCCAGGGAAGTACTGCCACCTTACCTATTTCTGCCGTCAAGCAATAATGTGAGCCTGCGTTCCGGTTTAGAAGGGTAAAGGTGCTGGGGAAATTGAGGCACATAGGACTTGTCAACTTATGTCTCAAGGCGACAGGCGCAGTGGCAGTGCCCCTCAGATCTTTGGGATGTAAAGCTCTAAGTGGCACTGCAACTGTCATTGACAGGCGTGTCGCTTACCACCAGGCGCACGACTTGTTCGTCCCGTCACTTGGTATTATAAAAAAACGATACGAGCCCAAAAAAAAGGTCGCGCGTCTGCTGGTGAATTTTCACACAGTCTCGGGAATTCCCGCAGTCGCCACGTTGTCTCTAGTTTATACTTTACACAATTGAGATAAAGTTCATTATTCTATATACAATTTCGTTACAAAAATTGGCTTCCGTTACGTTCTGCAGCAATGTTAATTGAACTTAAGTTTTGAGTGACTTTTTTTTAATAAGTGGGAATTAGAACAAAACAACGTGCACTCAAGTGTATTAATAAAGACTTAGCGTAAGTTTAGATTTTAATAGATCGATTATGCATTTTATGGGCTTATTAATACGGGCCTTAATGAACTTTCATATCGTCCCTTATACTAATGGATGTAATGTACAATTTAGATGAAAATTAAGTGTGTTCGTCACAATATAGGTCGCGAAATTGTAAATCGATTTGCGTAAATACCATTTTACGTCAAATGTTAGATCCATTCGTCATAGGGGATGATTTTCGTATCGTTGAAGGTTAATTTCAAGTAAATATCAATATGGGTTTACTAAAAAGCTGTTTCGCGAGACGATAAGGGTCAGGCCAGATGAGCATAATTTTGTGAGTTGTGAGTCGCGTTTTTTGAGTCTCGATTCAGTTGCTTTTAAACCCTATTTTGATGATAATGATATGTTTCTTCTCAGTGTTTAGGGTTGTAGGAGTCGGCGTTGTTGGTTTATTCCCCATTTTTAATTTTAACATCCCGTATTGACCCTTTAATCGATTAAAACTTTCTGTCGCATCGCAGACATATCGACCCCTTCTACGTAAAGTGTTGTATGTCGAAATTGCCAAGTTTACGTGAGTTTTACGTTACGTTTATCCTAACGCAGATGTGGATCAACAAGCGGGTAAACTAAGTGAGACTGTGCAGATTGGGTGACAGTATAAAACTATAAAATAAATTGTGGTTGTTCATCTAACCGATATTTAGGATTTTATAATGCTCTATGTGAATAACGAGCTTTGTCAAATAATAATAATAATAATAACGCACACACTCAACATAGCCCCGCACTAGGGAAACCCTGTGTCGCGGGTGCCATGGACACACACACGTAGACAACCACAAATTACACCCAAACTCACGAGAGAAATAAATGTAAGCCATACAAACATTTCTCCCGGCCCGGGAATCGAACCTGGGACCTCTGTGTG